ATTCATATTCATGTTTTTTAGAGTTATGGTCTCCCCAGCCATATTTTTGAATCCATCTAATTTCATCATAATTGTTCATTTCTGCGGAGCACTGGCGGTGCTGTAGGATAGGCACTGCATTGCTAACCCCAAAGTCAGCAGTTCAAATCCACTAGCCACTCTGCAGGAAAAAGATGAGGCTTTCTGCTCTTGTAAATATTTACAGCCTTGGACACCTTATAAAGGGTTGCTATGAGTTGGAACTGACTTGACAGCTCGTAACAACAATAGCATCAATTTGTACAAGCAATGTCTATTCACAAGCTTTTCTCATTATGATTTTTTGTATTTAACTTTTTCCTTTTGGGTGCAATCGCCCTTTCCTTGAAGTATATCCTTCAGTATTCCCTGCACTTAGAGGCTGCTAATAGTGAAGTTTCTCCATTTTTGTTTATCTTGATGTGCTTCCCCACTCTTAAACAATCATTTCACTGCTGCTGCAGACATGGGATCATTTCTACAGCAAATTAATAAGACCTTGTTGTTGTTGTTGTTGTTGTTATGTGCCGTCAAGTCAGTTCTGACCCATAGCGACCCTGTATAGGGTTGCTGAGGAGCAGCTGATAAGCTTGAACCGCCGACCTTGCAGTTCAAGTGGCTTTGCAGTCTGGCGCATTAACCCACTAAAACCAATGGTGAAGAAATTGAAAAATTCTACTAACATATTCAGGCTGAAATAGACTAAACATGCAGTTAAGATGCATTGATAATTACTGGTGGTTGGAATGAAAGTTGGAAAGAAAGAGGAAGGATTGGTATTGGAAAAATATGGCTTTGATGATAGAAATGATACTGGAGATCACATGACAGAATATTGCAAGATCAATGTCTTATTCTCTGAAAATGCCTTTTTTCAACATAAACGGTGACTATACACATGGACCTCACCATATAGAATACACAAGAATCAAATTGGCTACATCAGTGGGAAGAGGTAACGGAGAAGCTTAATATCACCAACCAAAATATGGCCAGGGGCCAACTGTGGTGTAGACCATTAGTTGCTCATATGTAAACTCAGGCTGAAGTTGAAGAAAATTAAAATAAGTTGACAAGAGCCAAAATATGATGTTAAGTATATTCCACCTGAATTTTGAGACCATCCCAAGAACACATTTGATGCATTAGACACTCATGGTCAAAGACCAGAAGAGGCATGGGATGTATCAAGAACATCATACTTAAAAGAAAACAAAAGTCTTCAAAAAGACAGGAAAGAAAGAAAAGATGAAAATGGATGTCAGAAGAGACTGAAACTATCTCTTGAATGCAGAGAAGCTAAAGCAGCTGGAAGAAATGGTTAAGTAAAGAAGCTGAACAGGAACTTTCTAAGGGCAACTTGAGGAGACAAAGCAAAGTGTTATAATAAAATGTGCAAAGACCTGGAGTTAGAGAACTAAAAGGGAAGAACAGGCTCAGCATTTCTCAAGCTGAAAGAACTGAAGAAAAAAATCGAGCCTCAGGTTGCAAAATTGAAGGATCCTATGAGTAAAGTACTGAATGATGCATGAAGCATCAAACAAAGATGGAAGAAATACAGAGTGAAGAACTGACAGTATTGAAGGAAGCAGTCCACTCTGAATTGAAGGCATTGGTGAGAAACAAGCTCCAGGAATTGATAGAATGCAAATTGAAATCTTTCAACAAACTTACGCAACAACGGAGGCACTCACTCAACTATGCCAGAAAATTTTGACAACAACTACCTGGTCAATTGATTGGGAGAGATTCGTATTTGTGCCCATTCCAAAGAGAAGCGTCCTAACAGAATGTGTAAATCATCAGACAATACCATTAATATCACATGCAAGTAAAATTTTGCTGACGATAATTCAAAATCGTCTGCAACAATACATTGAGGAGGAACTACCAGAGTTTCTAGCCAGATTCAGACAAGGATATGGAATGAGGAATGTCATTTCTGACATCAGATGAATCTTGTCTGAAAGCAGTGATTATAAGGAAGACTTTACCTGTGCTTTATAAACTATGCAAAGGCTTTCAATTGTGTGGATCATGACAAGCTATGAATAGCATTGTGAAGACTGAGTATTCCAAAACACTTAATTGTGCTTATGAGGGATCTGTTCATAGACCAAAAGGCAGTTGTTCAAACAAAACAAAGGAACACAGAATGGTTAAAAGAGGAAAAATGTGGGCCAGGGTTGTATTTTTTCAGCATATTTATTCTGTATACTGTATACTGAGCATAGAATCTGAGAAGTTGGATTATATGAAAAATGTGTCATCATTAACAGCCTGTGATAAGCAGATGATACAACCTTGCTTGCTGAAAGTGAAGAGGATTTAAAATGCTTACTGACGAAGATCAAAGACCACAGTCTTCAGTATAGGTTGCATTTCAAGGTAAAGAAATAAAAAAACCCTCACCACTGGACCAGTAAATAACGTCATGAAAATGGAGAAAAGATTAAAGTTGTCAAGATTTCATTTTGCTTGAATCCATTGTCAACACTCAAGAGCGCATCAGTCAAATGATGTATCGCATTAGACAAATCTGCTTCATATGGTCTTTTCAAAGTATTCAAGTGCAAAGATGTCAATTTGACAATAAGGCACACCTGTTCCAAGTCATGGACTTTTCAATAGCCTCATATGCATTTGAAAGTTGGACAGTGAATAAGGAAGACTGAAGAAGAATTGATGCATTTGACTTACAGTGATGGAGAAGAATTTGAAAAGTACCATGGACTGCCAGAAGAGCAAACAAATCTGTGTTGGAAGAAATAGTCAGAATACTCCTTAGAAGCCTGGATCGCAACACTTAGTCCCTTATACTTTGAACATATTATCAGAAGGGACCCTTCTTTTAGAGAAAGATGTCATGTATGGTAAAATGGAGGGTCAGCAAAAAAGAGGGAGACCTCCAACAAGATAGATTGGCATGGTGGCAGTGGCAATGGGCTCAAGCACAGCAACAATTGTGAGGATGGCGCTGGACCAGACAGTGTTTTATTCTGTTGTGGTATGAGTCAGAACTGACTCAACAGCACCTAACAACAACATTTTATTTCCTTCTGCATTTTATAATTTTGTTTGTTGGCTCATTTTCAACTTGGCTTCTGTTTTGGTTGTTGTTGTTAAGTGCCGTTGAGTCGGTTCCAATCCGTAGGACTGCTGTAAAGTTCTCTGTAGTGGTTATGTTCCTCCTGATTCATTTTACATTGAACTCTGTCAAGTGCCTGTGGTATCATATCATTTACCCTTCCACAATTGTTGGATACCTTTCTTCTTCTTCTTTAACATATATAGCTGAATGTAGATGAACAATAGGGTAGTTCTCAGGGATTAAAAATGAAAAATTGAAATCCAGAACAGAAAGCATATGACTTAAGCTGTAATGGTTCTACTAGTGGTTACTGATCTACAAAGACAGGTCTTGAATTTCAAGAAAAGGCCCAAGAAAAGACAGATCTAGGATTTCAGTTTCCCATAGAAATCTGGTTTAATTACTTAACCATCCAGAGCCCCATGCAGACATAAATTTCCTTGTCATTTCAAGTCTCCCTTTTCTTGGAATAGCTTAATTCTCTGAGAGCCCAGGCTCTTCATAGAAGTTTCAGTTCCAATTTCTCACTTCTCACAGAGACAAGAACTTATGTGAGTAATAAAACCCAAGCTTTAGTCCTTTGTCTACTCCCGTAAAGATTTACACCCTCGGAAACCCTGTACAGGGTCGCTATGGGTCGGAACCGACTCGACGGCACTTAACAACAACAACAACAGGTTCAATAACCACTACTAGAGCTACTACAACTTAAGTCACAGGCTTTCTGCTCTAGTTTGAATTTCATCTCCATTTTTATACCTGAGGATTACACTATCTTTCTTCGACATTCAGCTACATATATATATATATATATATATACATATATATATATATATATGAAGAAAAATAAATATATACCGCAATTGTGGAAGGGCGTCTAAACAAGGGCATCTAAAACATGGCGGAGTCCGCCATGTTTTCAGAACCAGAATCTCCTTGACAGCTGCTCATTCCTCAACTAATTCTTTGAAACGATCACCCAATTTGAAAGCACAAAACACTTGCATTTTATCCCCCATTATATTGCTCTTCTTTTGTACTTTTGCAAAGTAATCGTTTTGGCCCTACTCCCAATCAGTGTGGGCTAAAAACAATGGCAGGATGAAGGACTACAGTGGAGAGTAACTGAAGAAAAAACCATAAAAGTGTGTCATGTGGAGCTACTTCTCTTTGGCTGCCTGACAGGGAATAAATTACCTACTAACTGTACCACAAATTGGGCTGCTAACCTCAAGGTCAGCAGTTTGAAAGTACCAACTATTCCACGGGAGAAAGATGAGGCTTTTTGTTCCCATAAAGATTTACACCCTCAGAAACCCTGTACAGGGTCATTATAAATCGGAACTGACTCCACAGTACTTAACAACAACTTTACTGAAGTCCTGGTGTGTACTGCGGGATAATGCGCTGTACCAAACAATCGGTTTGAACCATAAGGTCAGTGGTTCAAACCCACTAGTCGCTCCTTGGAAACCCTATACGGGGTCACTATGCATCGAAACTAACTCGATGGCACTTAACAACAACAACAACAACTTTATTGGACAGTACTGCAATATTTGATTTATACTGTCGATTTTAATAGGTTAATATCTCTAAGGATAAACAGTGCTATAACAAATTGGTGGTAAATGCAGTAGATTACACAGACTGGTGTTACTGACATTCAGAGACTAGTCAGAGAAAATTAGACTTGAAATTTAGAGTCCTTATCTATCTTCATGAATCATTCATTTTATTTTGCTTATCACTGAATGATATGAAATTCTAGGCTAGTGAATTTCATAACAAGTGAAAGTAGAAGAAAACCATTTTATATTCGCCCCAGACCCTTCTTTTTTGCCTGCATTTATTGGACTGAATTGACTTGTTGAATATTTATTTTATATAGATTGTCAAACTACCAATCATCCGCTATAGTGACCCAACCCTAGTGTTTTCCTTCTTGTTGCTTTATGGCATCACGACTGTCATCTTCGCCTTCATGCTCACCACATTCTTCAGTAAAGGTACGTCCTGAAACTCTGGTTGCCAACTCTTCCATCATTTTCCTTGACCTAGGAACTGTATAAGATGGAACAATTCAGGGCCAAGAGCTACAACTACCTCTCTGGATTGTCATCCTGGTGTGGTGCTGTGGGTTAATGCGCTGGACTGCAAAGTCAGTTTAAACCAAAAGGTGGGCGGTTCAAGCTCACCAGCCGCTCCTTGGAAACCCTATAGAGGGTTGCTAGGGGTTGGAACCAACTTGACGGCACTTAACAACAACAACCCTTTCCTCCACATCTTCAGTCTCCACTGTGTCTAGTTTATCCTGGAAATAGTCGACCACCATGAATAATCCATGATCTTCCTTATATTATTTCACATTTGGAAACTTAACTAGAGATTGAAAAGGACTTCCACTGTCCAAATTCAAACCCCAGAAGTTTTTTGATTGGCCAACACAATGGGCTTTGTTTTAATGTCTTTAGGCCAGTGGTTCTCAACCAGGAGGAATTTTTGCCTTCCAAGAGGACAATTAACAGTGTCTGGAGACATTTTTAGCTGTCACAACTTAAAGAGTGCTGGCAGTATTTGGTTAGTAGATGCTAACTATCCTGTATTGGATAGAACAGATCTCTACAACAGAGAATTTATTGGACCCAAAGTGTCAGTAGTGCCAAGGTTAGACAGAGTGTGCATGACCCCTTACCCTCTCCCCCACTCCCCCAGTTTCCCACAATTCTCCTTCATTTTGCACCACTTTACTCACATAGTAACGTGCAGGTTCCTGAAAGAATTTGGTTTACAATCTCAGAGTCTTATTCATTTTCCATACCAAAGCCACAAATAGCTTGGAGATTTAAAGATACTTAATTGGAAGAACATGCTCAGCATTTCTCAAGCTGGGGGAGCTGAAGAAAAAATTCAAGCCTCGACTTTCTTTATTGAAAGATTCTCTGGACAAATTATTGAATGACGCAGAAAGCATCAAGAGAAGATGGAAGGAAGACACAGAGTCACTGTACCAAAAGGAAATGGTTAATGTTCA